AATCAACATAAATAGCAGCTTGACATCTATCCAAACGAACAGAAGGCATAACAGTAGCAAAGCATAGGAACAGAGGGCTCGAGTTGAGGAAAATGGGGGGTTTCGGGGTGAAGAAGACAAGCTTGAATAATATTTAGGGTTGCAGGTACAGCCTGCATTTACGGGTGATGGCCAGCTATCAAGTTCTAATCGAAAATAAGGCTCAACACATATATAAGGTCCAACACATACATATTGCTTCGATATCATCTTGAACTCGATCAAAAACTAGTATATTTGCGTCCTCCTCATCCATGAACCTAGTTGCCAAACTTAATTATGGGATTTCTAGTCTTATCCATCGGCTTAGGTTCACAACCGTGAGACCTGCTTTACTTCTTATTAGGCCCAATATTGAATCATCTTAAACACTAATACTATTGTTAAGCAAACTATATGCGTTAGTATGAGCTCTCAAATAAAACTTAATACATATATTAGAACTCACAAACAAGACTTAATATATATATTTTTATACAATTGAATTTAAAAGGCTAATATATAAGATTCATAAATTTTCACATATTATTTTTTTATTCCCATCACATATTTTTAATATAAAATTTTTTAGACTCATATTGAACTTAAAAGGAAAAAAAAAAAAAGAAAAGAAAAAGAAAAAAAACGCTTGCTAACAATTGGAATCCATTTCATAAAGATAGAAGAAACATACACTTATCTTGAACTACATCTTTTAGCACAAAAGAGAGGGCGTTGGGAATTTTTAACTGAAATCCTGGCACAAATGGAAGCGAAGAGAAGAAAAGACCTGAGGTTGTGTTTAATGTTTAGTTAAAAATTGTTTTATATTATTTTTTTATAATTTTATATATTATTTAAATAATTAATTTTTTTATTTATTTAATATTTATAATATTAAATGTATTTATTTATTTAATAATATATAAAATTTATTTAAAAAATAATATAAAAATTATTTTTATATTATTTGGTTGCACGAAAAAGTCCAAATCTTGTTGCTATAAAGACCCCGGTATTGGTGTTGCACATCAGGTGTCAGTACCCCCGTTTCGGAAGCTTTGGACGCCTGATCAGCCCCCATCCTCCAAGGGGTCAGACATTTTTCGTCCGGTACCATTTACTGTCAATACTCAAACCCAATTGTGTTGTCCCATTTATTCATGGTACCGGCACTTTTACTCAAAAGAGTTGAAACTCTCGTAAAATTCAAAGACACATTAATAACAAATTTAATTTAACCTGTACACTAACTCTCATGAAAGGCCAAAAAGTGGGGAAAGGATATGACCACACCCCTAATAATACTGTTAAGGTGGTTAAAATTATAAAATATTATTTTTAAAAATATTAATTTTTTTGATTTAATTGATAAAAATAATTTACTATTATAATTATTAATTTATAATGAATAGAATAATTAATATTTATTAATTAATTAAAGTTAAAGCAAAAGAGCATTTATCTTTAAAAATATTAAATTTATTTGATTTAATAGTTAAAAATAACTAATAGTTATAGCTATTGATTGATAACTAAAAGAATCACTTATATTTATTAATTAAGAAATTCAAATCTATCAACAAGCTAATGTATCTAAAACACAATAACTATCTGTTTAAGAAAAAATATATTATATGGCCATAACATTTAGAGTGATCACACGCAAAACAGTGACACATATATAAAGCAATTAAGAGGTTGTTTGGTAGAGCTTTTTACCACCTTTGATTTATTTGATTTATCACATTTTAAAAAAAAATCTAATTTACTTATTAATTTTAATTCTAAACATAATATTACAACCTTATTTTTAATTTTACTATTATTAATAATTATTTCATTCTTTAAAAAAAAAAAAAAAACACATCCCAACTTTCTAACCATCCTTGTTAATAAGAGTAGATATGAAATTATAGTTAGTATAGTATGTTTTTATGGATTTTTATCATTTTCTCTATAATTATTCCAAGCAATAGTGTCACAAATAAAATGAACCACAAGCACTAATAAACTTGTCACTATATTAAGTAATTCTTTTTCCTACAAATTTAAAAATTTATTAAATAGAAAATTTGAATTTGACATTTTAATTATCTTAAAAGTAAGTTTTGAAAAAAAAATGCAAATTATTCCATTAGTTCATTTTTAATAAATCTAGTTTTATTTTTTGATTTTTTGAATATAAATTTTAAATAAAAATTTAACATATTATATAAATAATAACTGTTAATTTTTTATCAAATAAAAATATTTAATAAAAATTATATGTAAAAAAATTTAATTATTATTTATATAAAT